ATAAAAAAAAAAAACAAGAAACAAGACGAATTTTAAGACTACTGTTCATTTTTATCACGGAAGAAAAATAAATCAAAAAGTCAAACATCAACAAGTGATGATATATATATATATATATATATATATATATATATATATATTATACATTAAATATTTTTGCGTGAATAACATGTCATCACGCAAAAGAAAAATAAATCTAAAATTCAAACATATCAACAAGCGAAATGAAGTGTATACTGTAAATATTTTCCCTTTTTATTCATGTCACCATCAAACGAAATCAACAAATGTATTTAATTAGAAAATCACGTTGTACATAAAACATATCGGAGATGGTTAAATGCTTTAAATTTATATAATATATAGGCCTAGGCCTAAGGAAGAAATATACAGTTGGAGATTTCAAGGCAGCGGCGGGTGTAATAAAAAATTTTTAAAAGAACTTTGATTTTATTATGAAATTCGAAATCATTATTGGCGGGGCACTATATTATTCATGTCATCAAAGTTGTACAAACAACAAACGGCGCATGTGTAAAATATTTTCTAATTTTATTCACAAATTCTCAACATTTAAAATAAATAAAAAATTTAAACATATTTCAAGAAGTAACGAAACAAAGTTGTATACTATACAGCCGCATATTTTTTTACATCACATTTTTATTCATTACTGTATCACGCAAGAAAAATATATCTAACGTATCAACATTTTCACATTGTACATAAAACATATCGGAGGATGTACAATAAAATTAACAATACATATATTATATTAATAAGACACATTCTATAATAATAATAATATGCTTTATTTGAACATGGAGACACTTGAATCACTCATGAGTGTTTTCATCAAGGCCGTGCAAGGCCATGCATAATTAGAAAAGAAAAAATTATTAAAAACAAAATGAGAAAAACAACAAAAACATAATATCTTAACTACAGTGAAACTATCCCCCGCCGGACACCAAACCGGTATTTCTAAGTTTCGGGAATAAAAATAATGATTTACTGTATCTTTAAACAAATATATATTTAATATTCTTGTTTTAATGGCGTATCCAGCTGTTGTATGACTACGTTCTCATTGGCGGCTGTTGTGTATTCAGTGGCCCCTTTTGCGTTCCATACATCTGGCGCGGCGGCCGAAATGAGTGGCGGCCGAAATGATCGAACACCGACCTCGGCCCCCCGTCGGGCAAATCCTGGCGCCACCCTTGACGATCAGCCGACGCTGAAGGCACTGTGAGCACGAAATATTATTTCGTTCCCTCGAAATAGTATTTTGAGGGAACGAAATAATATTTCGATGGAACGAAATGTTATTTCGAGGGAACGAAATAATAATTATTTCGAGGGAACGAAATAATAATTATTTCGAGGGAACGAAATAATATTTCGAGGGAACGAAATAATATTTCGAGGGAACGTAATAATATTTCGAGGGAACGAAATAATATTTCGAGGGAATATTTCGTTCCGTCGAAATATTATTTCGTTCCCTCAAAATGAATTCGTTCTCTTGAAATAATATTTCGTTCCCTCGAAATATTATTTCGTTCCCTCGAAATAGTTTAATATTTTTTTCTAACCATGTCCCTTTAGGGGCTCCGTAGATGTAGCTTTTACAGTTTATGGATTATTTGACAGATTTGAAGGGAGAATCTAATGCAACCTGAGAAGTTGAGCTTTTTGTCATGAAAGTGATGGACTTTAAAAAAAAAAAAAAGTTTATATTATGCCAATATTATTTGGGACCTTAATATGTCTTTATGTAACACTTTAGTATCTGTTAACATCAAATCTGTATTTTAACAGACTGTCCGATCGGATGGGAATTTAACGCCGATTTTTTGAGCTGTTATTACTTGGTTCAAGATACACATACTGACTATCTATTAGCAAACAGCACTTGTCAAACACTTGGTGGACATCTGGCGGCCATTTCTACTCCGGAGGAGAACTCTTGGATAAAAACGAAGTTGTATGCGGACTCAATAATGTGGCAACCCGCTTGGATCCGTTATGATGATAGGTTGTTTGGGTATCAAAGTAATATATATATATGTCCATATTTTAAAATTAATTTATCTAAAGATTTTTTACATGTACATTAAATAAGCATAATTATGACAATGATAGTGTAGATGAACAGATTGCAAGAGTAACACGTTCGTTTAGTTAGCTGCGAATTATTAGACGAGTGAAAATCTATTATCATGAATATCTTATGTTTGGTAATATTGGAAAACCGGGTTATTGAGGTTCATAGAGCGAAAATGTTAAGCTATTTCTAAATCTTGTTTTAGCTTGAATTACATTTACACTACTAGAAGTAGAAATGTGTGAATTGTCCTATATTTCCTGTACATAAGACATGCTTATAAAAATTCGATGAAAGTGTCAAGCTATGATTGAATAAGTTAACAATGTATTACATTATAACAACGTGTTCAGGTAGTTCATCAATTACGTCAGTATAATACCCGTGCTCACATTACATTAGTATCTTGAACGAGGCAGTATTACTTGTATAATTCAGGGCAGGGCAGGGGTGGGTGTAATGTAATAACATGGTTTAAGTGTCGTTATTAAATTGTTGCGAGTTCTTGATGTTTAACTTCTACGTAACCTGTATCTTATGTCCAAATATGTTATTTTTTATGAGATTGGAAATTTACGGATTATGAGATTTTGAAATTCATTTATTAAGCCCCATCATCTCTACATTGCGTGAGCCCGGCTCTAGTTGTTCCTTGGCGTCTCCTGATCTAGTTACGGCTCCCCTGGCCGAGCTACGGTCCTCCTTTCCTCATGTCCCCCACACACCGTTGCGCTATTGTTACATTCCCCTTCCCCCAACCTAATCTGTCCGATTAGGTTGGTGGTAAAGGTGGTGATGTAACAATAACGCAACGGTCCTTCTTTCAACCTGTCCCCAGCACACCGTTGCGCTATTGTTACACCCCCTCCTCCACCCTCCGAACATAGTCGGACAGATTGCTCTATATACAAAGTATCTTATAAATGTTTGTAGAATAAGCATATTCAATCATCTACCAGTTGAATTCTAAGCTACCTAAAACCCTCATTGGTATAGTTGTTTGAAGCATCTACACACTACGCAGACGGCTCGAGTTTAAATCATTGTTGAAGAAAACAATTATCACTCTCGCAGAATTCTACATCTCTTAACGGCGTCTATTTGTAAAGAGTTTAATTAGAAAAAGCACGAACGTAATTTCTTCTGGTGTAATGAACAATAAAACAAATCGAAAAATTATCACTGCATATCCTTATATGGTCAAATTATGGAGAAAAATAACTACTGTCCGAGTCAATATATTTAGTACCGGTATGCAACTAAGTCATTAAGGAATGGGGATCGCCAACAGACTGGTTTTTTTTTTTATACCTCTTTAATGATTCCTTCTTCAAATAAATAAACCGAAATGAAGCTCTGAATAATATTTATTTTGTTTTGCTTAAGATTATAACCTCTGTAGATTGATAAACTAATAATTAGATATTGATTTCTGAAACAAAATCATAAAAATTAATGGAAAAAGTTTTTAAATCTGAATACATCTAAGCTGTATTTTTTTTTTTGTTGGTTTACTAATATTAGACTTGTCTGTCAGAGTACCTAACGTTCACAGTAATGATAAAGATTGCACTGAAATGTATCCAAGAGGCTTGCTAACTTATGTTAATTGTAATAACACCGCTCTACCTATGTGTGAAAAAGGTCAGTACGTCCAACGCATATTTTGCTTTAAAATTTCTGCATCAACCAATGAAATATAGTATTATTGTAATTTGTATATGCTATTTCGTAAACACTTATAGGAGTTTTATTATTACTACTATTATTATCCAACCAATAAAATTCAAAAATACGACGATACTTTTTAATAAAAATAATGTTAGGCAAAATGCCTGGAAACTTTTTTAGGCCTAGCCATTGCTAGGCCATATGCTACATACATGATTCGACAGATCTCGTGTGTAGCGTATGGCCTAGCAATGGCTAGGCCTAATAAAGTTTCCAAGTATTGCCTGACATGATCTTTATCAAAAGTATCGTCATATTTTTAAATTGTATTTGTTGTATATTTTCTCATCGATCATTTGGAAATATTATTGTTATTGTTATTGTTATTATTGTTATTATTATTCTAATAATAACAATAATAACAATAACAATAATAATAATATTTCCAAATGATCGCTAATAATAACAATAACAATAATAATAATATTTCCAAATGATCGATGAGATATAATAATAATAATAATAATAATAATAATAATAATAATAATAATAATAATAATAAAGATTTGGTAAATTGACACATACTAATGTTTCCTAACCATTACACATTCAGAAAATTAATGAACTTTCTCCGAGTACGTCATACATGTACGACTAAAACCCATGCTAGATTTCTCATTGTTTGGTCGCCTCAATAGTTGATGTACTGCATATTGATATATTACGTGAAGATACAATTTCTATATTTGGAGATAAACAACACTATTTTGTCGGTAGCATATCCACAGATAAACACTATTCTTGCATGTTCTCATCATTGGTGCAACGCCATGAGATCTCAGCGATATAGCCCTGGACCAAAAGCGCAAAGGGGGCCCAGAAGGACCCCGAGCTCCACTTACCACTACCTAGTACAGTAATGCAGGGTCTTGCCCAAATGTGTTCTCAGGGGAAAAGCTTTAGTCCCCAGTCCCCAGGGCCCTCTTACACTAGCAGTCTAAGAGACACATGATCGTCTATTCAAAATTAAGCCACGTCAAATTGTATTATTGTGTTAATGATATTAACAAATATAAATAAAATACAACATGCAGTAGCATTCTTCTCTTCTTACACAGATTAAATGTCCATACATCCCAGCCACGACGGTCCAATAAAACAAAGCACCCTACGCTAAGCAAATTAATCAATATAATTATCGGTATTTTTATCTCATACGTGTAAGAGTAATTACTAGTACGTGGGGCACCATGAAATCGTGTTATTAAAGGCATACAAAAACAACGACGACGACAATAACAATAATAATAATAATAATAATATACTATGCACAGTGCAGTTCTATACTCTATCTTAATTATACAATTGCAAAATTATTGGAGTAAAGTATTTCGTAAAGTGTATTCATACAAAATTGTCCCATCATTGTTTTCGTATTATGATCGCTTTGAGTATCCATTCATCAATAGTCGGCGAATTCTGCATTGTTCTTTCCACGCCACAATCTTTAGTAACCTGAAGTTTTCGTAGAAAATACATCTTTCTTAATCACAGTGCCACTTCTTTTCATCCATGTTATTTTCGGTTGATTTCAGTTCTGTATTTTAAAATGAACTCATACGTATAGATTAGATAATTCTACAAATATTTTATAGGCCTACCGTCGCCTGATGTGAAATCTGACGGAAACGTAAACCCCTTAAAACTACATTAAAACGTGGAATAGCTCATTCAAAATGATTTATTTTTATTGATCATAGTCTTTATTGACTCTGATTATCGTTAATTTTCATTACTTGTATTTTTTTTTTGGGTGGGGGTTGGGAGATTTAATTACTAAGACCGATATCATTACTATATTATTTAATATTATCATCAACATCATCATGGTTACCAACCGTCTCCAATCGTCCGGGGCGGTCCCGCATTTCGAAGTGATTTTCAATGTAACATACATTTTTGCAGAAACACATGCGTGATCATAAATTTGTCGCGCATTTAGTACAAGTCTACGCGTGATAACGAATGTTCACGAATTTAGGGAAAAATGTATTTAAAATTAGAAAAAAATAGTTTTATTCAAAATTTAAAATGGTCATGCAGTAACTTGTGTCATTAGAGAGCTTTCGTAATCTTGTTCAAGAATCAACCAACAACCTTGGAGGTGCGTGCGGTCTTGCAAGTTCAGTCGCGGAAGCTATCACAAAGCCGATTTTGTCATTAAGGCTTGTGAGCATGCGCAGATGTTACGCTCAGTTAGTTCGTAGAAGACTGGCCGCGTAGTCAAAACGAAAAATGCCTATTGTCACAACCAATTGTTGATAAGGCCTATGTGACTGAAGCTGCAGTTGTCAGTTGGCATCAATGGGTGTGTTTCTGCTGAATAACGCTAAAAACACGTGTTTTTTTTTCATAAACGGTTAAATTCCTTCTGAACGCGTTTCTAGTGAAAAGTGCAACTAATAAAAACACGGTAATGCGAGCATTGTCAGGTGGGCGGAGCATAATTGACGGTCACCAACGGAAGTTAAAGCTGACCTTACTTCTTACGAGCTACAGCGCACGCTGCGAAAAAAAGTAAACAACACACCACGATAGTATGAAAAAAGTATGGTATGATCTTCAAGCATGTCATCCTATTGCTTTAATTTTTTTCTTCCCCCCCCCCCCCCGAATTTTCCGAGGACGGGCGATCAAACAAACGAAGAGGTAAATTTGGGTCACCGACGGGTCATGAATAACACGGTATTGCGTTACAGCTGGAAAGTGTACCACAAAACACGCGAACCCTATAACGAATGTGTGCGGAAAAGTTTAGATGATTACGCCAGTTAGCAACAAACACTGTATGAATACCACGGTTAGGTTTGAGATGAATCCGTTTATTTCAAACTATCTCATTCAATTCTATAAATACAGAAAAGCATCATTAGAACTCAAAATACAATATAAATCCAAAACAGCAGCATAAAACTTTCATTTATCTTTATGCATCATGACATTCAACATATGACCTTTAACCTTTATGTAATCAATCATCAACTATTCAGTATTCAATATCAACAAATGGTATCGAGCAATTCCCGTAGTACAAACCATAGCATAGTTAATCTTAGTTCATGATGTCTTATTATCATTGTTACAATCGATCCCTTTAAATTCACAATATTATTCTAAACTCTATTAAATATCAACTTCAAAATTATAACTCTAAACTTACTACTTTGCCGGGTATAAATACAGTCCGGTCAGCCTGATAAGTTCAGCTCAATCGCAGGTTAGCAAATTACACAGTACAGCATGTATATGAACAACGTCATAACCTAAATATTAATTAACATTATTAAACACTGTTTGCAATGTAAAGAAACATGGTAAAACTTAATTGGGAATATTAACAGTGCAGCAGCACTTACTGCATAAACCATTATCTACTAAGAACGAAGAAAGCAAGTCTATCTTATCTAAAACAACTGCGCTCCAACAGCATTAATAGAAAAGGTCAATACCGAATCAATGAAGCGTGACGACCAAACTTTAACACAAGTGCTTTCTTGCAACAGGTACATTGATAAAATGTCTAACTACAATACATTACAGTATTATAATCGAATCATATTAGATCACCAATCATACATCAATCGACCTAATGAAATGTCGTACGGTTACATTATAACCTCTACACAAGATACAATAATGGCATCATTAATACTATGTAGCGATATAACTCCTATGGCCTAGGATCTATTTTCTAATGCAATTCACTAAGCCATTAATATGGCTTCTTCTACAGTATAACACAAGGTGAAACTAACGTTTACTGTAGAACATAAATTATCAGTAACAACCCTAAATTAATCATACCGAATTGATATATAAACTTACATTCATAATATCATCATACATTGACGATCTTGAAACAGTATTTAACGGAAATTTGTTACTACATTCCGGACAGCTCAAAAAACACGTCTTCATTTGCGTCTTAGGGTCATTCTTCGCTAATGTGCCATTTTAGAGGTTTAGAAATCATGAAAAAAAAAGTTTAAAATTTGTAATTCTTTTATTACACATGTCATCGTTATGCCATATAACAACTATAATAAACATTCGGCACGATAATTAGGGCATTTTAAACGTTTATTTAAGCATTCAATTTTCAGTGCTGTAACATAGCAAATATTGCAAGAATCATCTCCATCACACTGTTTGTGACGGAGATGATGATATACATATAGATGTGAATCTTATTAAATTTAAAAGATAGATTGTATTATTTAAATATAGGATAATGCACATTGAACAAACGGGTTTCTAACAACATAAGTCGTATCAATTACCATTTTTATTTTATAGCTGTTTCTGAGAACGGAAAACATCAAGAAATCATCTCCATCACACTTTGTTGTGACGGAGATGATGATTTACTCATAAATGTGAACCTTAGTAAATTTAAAAGATAGATTATATTATTTAAATATAGAAAAATAAACATTGAGCAAAAAGGTTTCTAACAACATAAACCAGATCAATTATAATTGTTATTATACATTCTTTTTTGAGGAAAGAAAACATCAAGAAGTCATCTCCATCACAGTAAAATTGTGATGGAAATGACTGTGACCTGTCTCTTATACACATCTAGATGTGTATAAGAGACAGGGCCTAAGTAGACAATGCAATTATATGTGAT